CCAGCCCCAGCCACCTCATCCCCATCCCATGGCCCAGCCCGCCTCTGGCCTGGCGCCAAACTGCCCCGTGAGCCGGCCACAGGGGATGACACCTTAGGGAGCGCAGCCGCCTAATGCCAGGAATGAACAGGCCTGGCAAGAGATAGTGGGAGCCCTGTTCCATCCTTCTGTTGTAGGCACAGTTTTTGGGTGGGGACGGTGGCACCCTCCCTGAACACAGGAGCTGTGGCCTGGCTACAGCGGGCGAGGCAAGGAGTCTTATTCGCTCCCCCACATGCATCTCCTTCATGCATTCATACACAGTTCATTCAAAATAATGTAAGTTTGAAATAGTTTGAGCCCCCCCCGCCAATTTTTCTGGTTTTACAGTTAGATTTTCTGTTTTTAAAAAAGTATTTCTAGCTCCCCTGCTGCTGTGTGAAATGCCCAGGCTGCCAGAGGGAATTGATTATAGACACAAATTGCTTTCACATGCGGAAAGTAAACAAATGGAAAAGGTATGCTTGCTTATCTTTCAGTTGGAATAATATTGAGGATTACTGATGACAACAATAGAAAAAAAAATCCTGATACTATTTTATTCAATTTTAAACCTTTTTTGGTAATCTTTTTATCTAATGAATCTTTGCTTCCCTTTCACAAACTACTTTCTACTGTCTTTCCCCTATATTTGCTACTTTTAATTCTTCACTGCTAAAAGCCTTCAAAATAAAGACTCAGGAACAACACTTCAGTTTCCTTCATTGTAATCTGTTAAAAATGAGGTCCTAATGCTGCAAATACTTGCATATGCTTAATTTCACTATCCATGATTTCAATGGGTAGTAACATTAAGTTCTTTTAGACATGTGTGCAGGATAAACTGCAATATTCCATTTTCCACTGACTGAAGTGGAGCATTGTGCGGCACTGACAGCTAGATTCCCACAGTCCTGCTGCTGACAACCTGAGCACTCAGCTAGGCACAGGGTAGGAGCCAGCCGTGAGCATTTCAGGATCAAAAATTCAATTGTTAACCAAAAGTGCACTCTGTCTTTCTCCACATATACATACACATGCAGGCACGCACGCACACTCACTCAGGAAAAGCAAACACTTTTTTGCAAATTATATTTTCCTCAAAAAATCAATTTTCTGCTCAAACAACTATGAGGAGAAATTGACCAGTTTTAATATTGAGATTTCATAAATATGGAATATTGCAGTTTATCCTGCATACGTGTCTACAAGAGCTTAACGTTACTACCCACTGAAATCATGGAGCTCCACCTGTGGTTGGTGGATCTCAGCTTGAACAGTAGCAAGCAGCAGTTTCATGATGTTCAGATTCTGAGGGATAGTGGGGATAGAACATGAACAAGGCAATTTGTGATACTGCATGTTGCTGGGAGGGAAGGGGAAGAGTAGAAAGTAGGGGGCTCTAATGCCCTAGTGCATGAGAGGGGCATGGGGATTGGAGGGTAGATGAGATCCATGGGCCACAGGTGGAGCCCCTGTGGGCCACATGTTGCTTATGGGCTGCAGGTTGCCTATCACTGCTGTACACATCTGTTGTGTTCAAGACAGAGTTCTAGTAATGTAGGATAATGAAGATAAGTTCCTACTAAGAACTCAAGAGCTGAAGTCAAAATCCTGATGTAATCTGATTTCTAGGAAACTATAAGCTATTTTTGTTTTTCTATTATGGCTTCCCCTCCCCCCCTTCACCCATTTTACCAGCACTTGCAGTGTCAACCAACATTTTGCAAACCTTTGCTAATATGTCAGCAGTAACATTCTTCTTTCAAATTTCCTCAGAATAAAAATGCAAAGAAATGTCTGAAATTGTCACTCTATTGTCTCATTATGAATTCTGATAAAAATTAGCTTGTATAAGTAACTTTAAAAAATTTAAACTGTAAGCCTTTTCAGTGTCAGCCTTTCTTATAGTTAAGAAATTGCTTTATAATTTGTGAGATTTAAAATAAAATAAAAAAAATTAGGGTATTTTTTATTTGATTTTGAATTAGTAGGATATATTGGGGTCACATTTTCAATTTTTTCTTTCAATCCTGAAGGTAGAAACCTTTTTTTTTTAATGAAAGAGATATTCACCTAATAATTTTTCTCTCAAAACTGAGGCTTTTAAAGGTAAAGATCAATATTGTAAGATTTGTGGAAAAAAAGAGCAAGCACTGGAAACACCACAATTATAATAGTGTAGCCCTACTGTCTTCATGATCTGGCACTGCAATTTAATTGTTTTCAAATGGTGAAGTAATATGTTTTATTGGATTATCTTCTGGTTTTAGTCAGTTTCTAGTTCATTTCAGTTTGCCACATGCTACTACAATACTGCATTGTTCGGGTTGCAACTACCAAGGGAAGGAATTGGAAATATTAAAACAAAAAAACCTTCCCCTTTCTATTTGATCAGAAGACAATAAGTCTCAGTAGTGCTGCTTGTCCTCCACCATTCAGATATACATTAAGGACATGACTACATTAGGAATTCCCTCTATTTTGGCCTTTGGTAGAGATGCATGTTGCAAATTGTTAGTGTAGGCAAGGAGAACAGGTAAAAAAATGGGTGATGTTTATCCCTGCTTGAGTTGGACATCAGGTCAACTGGACCAAAAAATTATGAAAAATTTCATTTTAGGAGAACCAAAATGGATTATTTTTCAGCTCATTCCCCAAATTCCCATACATTCTAACTCCTCAGGTAACCAGTTTTGTGGGCTGCTTGGTAAGTCATGGAATCCAGGGAGGCAGTTGCCTGGAGAGTAAGGATCCTTAGGAGCAAGAGAGTTGGACTGCTCTGGGAGTCTGGACAGTGGGCAGCTTGGAGAGCCAACTACCCGAGGAAAACTTTTTAATCAGAAAAATTGTGACCAGTTCTAGGAAAGATACCAAAATGTCAAAGTAGTCAGAGACTGCATTCAATTTTCTCCACGTTTTCACTGTTGAAAACTGTTGAAAAAGATGTAGGGATCTCAGGGCCCACACCAGGGCTGTGATTGTTCCCAGGAAGCCTTTGCAAAGGTGAAAGGCCATAGAACTTTTCTGAAGGCATTGAGCCTCATTGTGGTTGGTCCTGCTTGCCAATTAGCCCATCATAAGATGGGATTTTCAGGTCTCTCCTCCACATCGGTCTTCCAACTATATACAGGCAGTCCCCGAGTTACATGGATCCGACTTATGTTGGATCCGCAGTTACGAACGGGGCTTTTCTTGCCCCGGAGGACGGGAGCAGCGGGACGCCCAGATGAGCCACGATCCCACCGCCCACGTCCTCCGGGGCGAGAAAAGCTGCTCCCCATCTCCCTGGTCTGCTGGTCAGACCAGGGAGACGGGGAGCAAAGCCTCGGAGGATGC